TGTATACATTACAGACTTTCTTTCCTAAAAAAATGCTACAATCCGGGCTGCGGTCTTCAGATTTTCAAGCAGTAATCCCGAAAACACTTCTATGGTAAAACCAGTAAAGAAAGTCTTAAAGTCGGGCGGGGCCGACTTTATGATACCCTACACCACTTTGCTAATTTAGTAGAGCTACACATAACAATTAAAAGTTTTTATGGGAGAATTCAATCATACACGCTATGATTATAATTATAACTTAAAGTTCAAAGGACTAAATATGCCGAAGCATTTGTATCTTTAAAATTCGGAATTGTATTGCCCATTTGGATAAAGATATATATGGGAGCTATATCCAAATCTGAACCGATCTCGATAAAATTTGGCAAAGATATTTCTGAGCTGTATTTGATATATTTCCCTGAATATCGTTGTTACGGAGTGCATATTACGGCGGCTGTGGACAAAAATAACAAATCGGATGAACAATATATATGGGAGCTATAGCTATATCTGAACCGATTTCCATCAAATTTGGCATACTAGCTTCTAGACTCAATAGACTCGTAAGTGCCAATTCCATCCCATTTGGACAAATATTAGACGTTTGGTGCACAATAAAAAGTAAATCCGACGAAGTTATATATGGGAGCTATATCCAAATCTGAACCGATCTCGATAAAATTTAGCAAAGATATTTCTGAGCCGTATTTGATATATTTACTCAAATATTGTTGTTGCAGAGTGCATATTACGGCGGCGGTGGACAAAAATAACAAATCGGATGAACCATATATATGGGAGCTATAGCTATATCTGAACCGATTTCGATCAAATTTGGCATACATATTTTCAGGCCTAATTTGGGTGTATATGCAAAATTCCATACAAATCGGGCTGATATTACACGTTTAGTGCGCAATAAAAGGCAAATCGGACGAAGATATATATGGGAGCTATATCTAAATTTTGACCGATTATTCCCAATTTCAATAGGGTTCGTCCTTGGGCCAAACAAATGATCTGTGCAAAATTTCATCTGGATCGGGCAATAAATGCGACCTGTACTTTGTTTACAAAAATACATGGACAGACGGACAGACGGACGGACAGACGGACGGACAGACGGACGGACAGACGGACGGACAGACGGACGGACGGACGGACGGACATGCATAAATCGACTCAGAATGTGATTCTATGCAGATCATCAAAAGGAACTATGGGTCTATCTCGTTTCCTTCTGCCTGTTACAAACAAATGCACAAAGACATAATACCCTGACCACCTTGTGGTGTAGGGTATAAAAAGAGGCACACTTTTTTCAACCTACATGTAATGCAAAATATAGTTTATTTGCACTACTACTTTATAAATACTTTACTGAGATTGAAGTCGACTAACTAAACTGCTTTATACCCTACACCACACAGTGGTATTATGTCTTTGTGCATTTGTTTGTAACATGGAGAAGGAAGCGAGATAGACCCATATTTACTTTTGAGGATCTTCATAGAATCACTTTCTGTGTTGATTTATGCATGTCAGTCCGTCTGTACATCCGTCCGTCTGTCCATGTATCCTTGTGAACAAAATGCAGGTCACATTTATTATCCGATTGAGATGAAATTTTCCAAACAACATTTGTTTGGCCCAAGGACGAACACAATGAAATTGGAGATAATCGGTAAAAAATTAGATATAGCTCCCATATATATCTACGTCCGATTTGCCTTTTTTTGTGCATCAAACGTGTAATATCTGCCCGAATAGTATGGAATTGTGCACATATAACCAAATTAGGCCTGCAAATAAATATGCCGAATTTGATCGAAATCGGTTCAGATATAGCTATAGCTGCCATATATATTGTTCATCCGATTTGTTATCTTTGTCCTCCGCAGCCGTAGTATGCACTCTGTGACAACAATATTTTGGGGAAATATATCAAATGAAGCTCAGAAATACCTCTGCTATATTTTATCGATATCGGTTCAGATTTGGATATAGCTCCCATATATAACTTCGTCCTATTTACCTTTTATCTTTTACTTTAATTGTCGAATTAAAATCATATTTTTGACAATCAATCAATTGTATAAAACCGGATTTAATCGGGTTTCATATTTGAATACCCGGATCAAACATTCGCATAGCTAATTCTCTCTGCCAAGAAAAAATTGCATCCATTTGGTCGGCATAATGGTATTTTAAAGTCAAAATATCTCATCTTATGGCACATCTGCGACGGTGTCGGAAAAAAAAGAAGGAAATGAGATATAAGAACGAAATTTTGAACAAAAATGTTTTAATTCAATTTACAGTTCATTTCAGAAATAGGCATTGTCAGCCCGCCGTTACTCAAAAGTTTGACTCACTGCGAATCTATTCTTTGGAGTCCTTGTTATATTCTCCACTTTCCAATTTTTATTTTGTTTGTTGCTGGAATTTAAGTTTCAATCCTCCGATTTGTAATTAAACCAGAGCTCCGATTTACTCAGTTTTGCTCACGAGTGAATATTACTCGCAAGCGGGAAAGCTCGTAGGAGTTTTACACAAAGTTTACTCTCCCCCCTAGTCTTTTATATGCAAGCGTAAGTGAGCACTCCTGTTTATAAAACTAAGAGCGGAAGTCAAAATGATCGAAATAGAGTACGAGTCGAGTAGAAAAAATTATTGTGTTTCAGCTTTGTGTGTGTGCGCATATGTAGTAGCATACAAGTTTTATTGTTGTTGGCATCGTTTACAAATGCAAAGAAGAGAACAGTAGCAAAAGAGTATTGCAAAGACTGGTGGCTTTTGAATATAAAAACATAATATGCTCTTTTGGAGGAAATTTGCGACAATACTCGGTTGTTGTTTTCATTTCAATTTCAGTTGTGAGTTTAGAAAATGCATTCACAAAAAAATCTTACATCTATCAATTGGACGCTGAGTCTCAAATTCACAACTTTCGGTATTGAGCAGGATGTGCACTCTTTAAGACAGCATTACTTGGTAATGAGAAAAGTAAAAAATTGCTTTAAATTTTTTAAAAGAATAAAGCATTATTCTCAACCTACTAATGATGTCGAAGGTCGTTTGTTTGCATTACCTTATAAGGCGTTATGCAACTAATATAGCCCCCACGTTTTTGTTGGGATCAATTAAATGTTTTTTTTTTTCAAAGTAGCAACAGGTGTTAAGTTCGGCTGGGCCGAAACTTTAATACCTTACACCATCTGGAAGGAGCTTTCAAAACTTAAAAAAGGCTATTGAAAAATGCCGGTAAGAATCGAATATCAGGTGTTACCTATGGGGCTATACGAAAACATGAATTTGTATGGACAATTTTCCGTGACAGGAAGTGGGCCAGCTCCAAATTTCGAATCTGAAATAATTCTGTTGAAAAATGTAGCTAAAATCATTAAAATACCGAATTTTGGGAGATACTATTATATGGGGACTATACGAAGCCGTGGAAGTCTGTATAGGACTTTTTTTGTCATAGAAGGTAGTATCCATTACAAACTTAAAATACCAGATTTGAAACAATTCCGGTGAAAAGTGTGACACAAATCATCAAATACCGAATATCTGGAGGTTAAGTTATGTGGGCCTACACTAAACCGTGAAATTCTACAGACAATTATCTGCCAGCGATGGCGGTCCCTATTGCGAACTCCAAATACCAAGTTTATCAAAATATCGAATTTTGGGAAACTTGGGAACTATACAATGGCGTGGAAAACTGTACACAATTTTTTTCGTTGTCATAGTAGGTAGTACTCCACGTGAACTCCAAATTCGTGATAATTTCTGGGGAAAATGTGACAAAAATCATCAAAATACCGAATATCTGGGGGTACAGTTATATGAGGTCTATACCAAAACTTAAATGTATATGGACAGTTTTATGCAAAGATGCTTCCTATATTGTGGAAACACAAAATACCAATTTGCAGCAAAATCAGTTTGAAATTGTGACTAAAATTCCCCCCAAAAAAGTAAAATCCACCGGTAGTTATACAGGGCCTATACCAACACATGGACATATATTGCCCAATGGGTCCTGTACACCTAAAACACATGTGAGTTGAATTTCATCAACCAAATGAAGCATTTCGTTCAGAAGCTAGAGTTATTTCCATAGACGGACAGAAAGACGGATGGACATCGCTAAGACAACATCGAATTTTATGCTGATCAAAATAGATAAACTCTGTGCGGACTAAGAATGTATACTTCGAGGTGTTACAAACTTCATATACCCTCCATACTATGGTGAAGTACGTTTTATATGGATTACTCTTAATTGGGAAACTTCGTGGATGCCACCGCTAATAAATGTTAATAGCCTGAAACATTGTCCAAACTTGATCTACACTGTGTATATGAAGCACTTAAATACCATGCTTGACCTTGAACAGAAGTTTAGCACTAATATCTGATGACCCCTTTGCAAGTAAATGTCTTTGTAATTTAAAATGCGTTTTTCTCGAAGCTAAACTCTTTGAGATTATAATAAAACCCTTTTTAAAATATCTTTTATCTTTGTGCATACAAACTCTCCATCTGAATTTCTTACACCAAAAAAAAAAAAAATCCATTCTTTGTTTCGTGATACATTTTGCAGTGAAAGTGTTATTAAAAGTAAAAGTATCAAAACTTTGAGTCATTTTGTTACTGGGTGCTGTGCGTGTTTCCAAAAATTATATGTATATAATATATTCGTTTCTGTTTTGTCTTTGTTTTCATTCTTCATTAATATTTTTCGCCATTGACACTCATCATCTAATCCCTATGCCATGCCAGATATAAAGATCATCGTTATCGTCATCATCTTCATCACAATTATCTGTTGCCCAGCATCTTCTGAATCGTTCAATTCATTTAAATCGAATGTCGTTAAGTTTGCTTTTCTCCCCACCCACCACCGTTATGTCCGTTTGCGTTTGCCAAAAATGTTTTTAAACAAAAAACACAAAAACAAACATGCGTGCCAATTATTTGTTTTTGTTGTTTCATTTTCTTTAATTTTTCCCAATGATTTCTGTTCACTTATCTTTTTTTTCTTGAATTCTTTTGTTTTTCCAGGCAGGAAATCTCCATTTTTGGGGTTCATTTGCAAAACAAACGGTAAATTTTTTTCTGTTATAATTTCTTGTTTGAGTTTCTATTTTTTTTTGAGTTTTGTTTTTTTTTTTGTTTATATTTGATTGTTTTTTTTGTTAATGCTAGCTTGCATTTTGTTTAAATTTGTTAATGATAAGTGGTTTCTTTGTAATATGCCATGATAATACAATGTAAGGTGTGCTGCTCGGTATTTTAAACAAATTTTTTTTTCAAATATGTTTTAAATCTATGAAAATAGTGCTATGTTCCAGAACCAGCAAGAACCTACTAGTTTTGCGAATTTTTTTTTCAATACCATAACTGTAAAATCGGGTAGCGTAGTAAAAATGTTTACACATTATTTAGATTGTTAATTCCTTTGAAACGCGTTATTAAGGTGCCGATTTTAGGGTAACAATTCTAAAATCGGGGAAAACAGCCTAAAGCCTCACAAAACGGTAATAGCTGGTGTCGATAATATGTATGGAATTTAGGAAACAAGCTATATCTTAAGCTAGGAAATAGTCACACATATTTATGGACTGCAGATAGCTTCGACGTGCCAGAATATACCACTTTACGATTTTTTTAACTTTATACTACAAACCTGTTCCCGAACTCGAAAAACTAGTTCATGTTTTAGACAGATTTAAGAGAAAATAAGCGAATATGGTTATATTTACCAACTTTTTACATTTGGTCGGGTAAAAAAGAGTATCATCACTGTTAGCTTCTGATGGACTGATATGTTGATCAGAAGCTGATAGGCTGATATGCCATCTAATTTTTACATTTTTAATAGTTTCCGTTCCCGAATTCCTCCTTTCTCTCTTTCGCTAGTTTTACCATTAAGAGGACACAGCACGTGTCGATTTTTATGCTCTTATCTTATTCTTATACCAATTAGTATTTTTAGCCTCATATCAACTTTTTTTACCTTATTCGGCTCTTTGATGCTTTTCTTCTTCTCAATCCTAGATCAGTGTCGATTCTTTATGATTCTCTTTACTTTTATTAAAACGTGGGTCTAGGTCTGTGAAATACGGTGGCAGCCGTTCTATCGCATTCGCTTTTAAGCGAACTTTCACGCATTGCTTTGTGGAGGAGCTGATTTATTGGATTGAACTAAATTACTATTTTTAAGGACCCTATTTACATGCCTTATTTACATGAATATACGGAAGGAGAACCTAAGGTCCGAATCTTCATTTTCTGATTTTTTTCTTGTAAATTTCAAATGGGAAGCTTAATTTTTGCTTGTCGAGCCCCTTGGAAATGGTTTTAAAATGCATTTCTGCCCAAACGCAACAAAATTGAATGGCAGGGTCTTACTACCGATCGGAGATTTCTCATTGTTCAAATGTTGATCCTTTGTGGGGAGGTACTAGAGGCAATGACCTGTTCTATTCATTTTCATAACAAAGCTTGCGTTGATAAAAATGATATGTGCGAAATTTTATCTTATTTCACAATTTACAATTTATAATTATTCAACATTTTGACCCTTTGTGGGGGAGGTATATGATGGAGTGGGTCGATATTGTCCTTTTTCGCACCTGACCTAGTACAGACAAAAACATTAGGTTTTGTGGAGTTTGCAGAAAGAAAATCTAATAACCTTTCTCTTTCTATGATGTAAATTATTACTTTGACAATTTTCATCTTTTGTGGGGAAGATACCGGAAGGAGTGAATCAATATAGCCCATCTCCGAACTCGATCTAAGTTTGATAATAATATTACTATGTGGCAAGTTTGGACCAAATCGGATGCTCCCTTCAAGAGTTATAGTGTGTAAAAGCTGTCAAGCCACACAGACAGACGGACACCACTGAATCGGCTGCAAATGTCCTGAAAAGGTGTGGTCCAAAGCGACCTGAAACCGTTATTTCGATGAGGCTCGTTTTGGCCGCATCAAATGATATATATATCTTATTTAGCCAAATGGCTGATAATTAGGAACTGTATGGAAAATCGTCGCTGGGAAAATAAACTGAAACTGAAAAGTAACTAACCCCACAAGAATACCTTAATTCGGGTGCTACCATTATATGGAGGCGATACCAAACCGCCGAGCAATATCTCCTATTTCCAATACCAACAATTCTATGGGTTTCAAATTCGTGCAGGAAAAAATCGAGTATACACAATTTATCGATGTCACTCGAATAAGAGCGAGAATGCTTGCTCGTTTTTGAGCCGCTCGAAATCGAGTACTTTTTTAGTTTTCGTCATACATATGTTGTGTTTATATGTATGTTTATGATAAAAAAAATAGTTTTTTTTCAACTCCATTTCATTCTCAGACTAAACCTTTACCCTAGTTCGAGGAGGAGTGAGCCAGGAATGCTCTCATATAAAAAAGTGTAAAGAGCAAATTATTGGAAATAGAATCACATTCTGAGTCGATCATTTGTTTGCCCCAAGGACGAACAATATTGAAATTGGAGATAATCGGTCAAAATTTAGATATGGCTCCCATATATATCTTCGTCCGATTTGCTTTTTATTGCGTACCAAACGTGTAATATCAGCCCGAATAGTATGAAATTTTGCACATACAACCAAATTTGGCCTGAAAATAAGTATGCCAAATTTATTTTTCGAGATCGGTTCAGATTTGGATATATCTTCCATATAAAACTTCGACCGATTTACGTTTTATTGTGCACCAAACGTCTAATATTTGTCCAAATGGGATGTAATTTAGCACTTAGGACCGAATTGAGTCTAGAAGCTAGTATGTCAAATTTGGTGAAGATTGGTTCAGATATAGCTATAGCTCCCATATATACTGTTCATCCGATTTGTTATATATGTTACCCACAGCCGATATGCACTCCTTAACAACGATATTCAGGGAAAATATCAAATGCAGATCAGAAATATCTTTGCCAAATTTTATTGAAGTCGGTTTAGATTTGGATATAGCCATATATATCTTTATCCGATTTCAAATTAATTGTGCACCAAATGGGCAATACAAGTCCGAATTTAAAAGATACAAATGCATCGGCATATTTAGTCCTTTGAACTTTAAATTATATTATATATAATTATAATTATGATTATAATTGTAGCGTGTATGTTGAATTCTCCCATTAAAAGGTTTAATTGTTATGCGGAGCTCTACTAAATTAGCAAAGTGGTGTGGGGTATCATAAAGTCGGCCCCGCCCGACTTTAAGACTTTCTTTACTGGTATGAATTGACTTTAAATTCTCCCAGACATTTGTAAGAACTTTCCAAAGTAACAGAAATAGGCGTTTTAAGCTGTAAGCCATGCCCACAACTTAAATTCATTCATCTTCCTGTGGATTATTTTTATTTGGTCTTTCAGTTTTTTTTTACATCAGGGTGACCAGAAGCGTAAATTTGCTTATATACGTATCCGCTAAGATGAAAATGAGCCTCATGGTGATTAAGGAGGGCTTCAGCGTATGTTACACGCGATTGACGGTCAGCAGCTAATAGCTGATGCTCCATCTGGACTTTGTACAGGCATATCTTCAAATCTTGTACCAAAATTCGCTGTAAATACCGTCGACTGATACCCATTTGCGTGGCATGTCCTCTGGTCGATGTCGTCGGCGCTTCCATGACAACCTCGGAAACAACAGCAATATTCTCTGTAGAACGGATATCCGGGGTCTGCCACGCCTGGCAGCATCTTGTGTTGTAACAGTCTCTTCACCAGTAGGTGTTTGACGGCCAAGACTTCTGCGACAAAATGCACGTTGTGCCAAAGTCACCCACGGATTATTGTCAAATAAATAGTCACAAATTTTCTGCGTTCTGTAGCAGTGTAGAGTAATATTGTTTATTAACGTGTATTTAGCATGTGTTTAGTACAAAAATATCGAACTGACATTAGGGGCCAATCGTAGAATTTTTAGCATTTTCTGATAGGAAGATTACTCCTGAGCCACCTTGTAGCTAGGTCACTTTCAGTACATGCAAACCCAATGATATTTAATTGTAGCAATCTTTATACACAATACCATATTATATATACGGTAGAGGGTAAATGTATAAATATTTGCCTAGCTTAAACTCCTACAATTTCATGCGGCTTGAAAGAAAATTAGACCACTAATTCCTTAAAAAAAAAAAAAAAAAAGTCTTTGTTTGACCACAAATCATTTCACTACAGCAAAACGTGTTGTTTTATTCAAACCCTAAAATGAGACTTCCAAACAAAAATAAAATCCCCCAACAACAACAAGAACAATATTTGACAAAGACTATGCTATAGAATATGCATTTGCATCATTTAGCCAAAAGAATACAAACTTCGTCATAAAACAATGACATAAATCCTCATTTCTTTAAGCTAATGTGTGATACGACAGAAGAAGAAGAAAGAAAAAACCGTCAACAAGTATTACTTCATATTGAACACGTTCTGGGGCCCAGAAAGCAAAACCCGTGTTGAGGGATTCAACGGAAAATAAACAAAGAAACAACAAAAAATAAAAATTATTATTACTCAACCGGTGGCCTGTCGTTTTTTTTTTTTTTTTTTTTTGTCTTCAACCATGTTTGCTAGACAAGTTAGTACATAAATTCTGCACAAGTACACGAAGACTGTAATCGTATGCTTGGCCAGCTACACACCAGCAATGAGACACAACGTCTTGCAAAGCGGTCACAAGAAACTGGTAAACATAAATATGTATGACATAAAAACAACATGGCCAAAACAAAAAATTTCGCAATATTTTGCAAAAGAAAGCTTTTCCCATTCACAAACACACACACACACAGGCACTCGCCCATAGAAATGAAGGCAGGTTTTACGTCAAAGTTCGCCACAAAACAAAACAAAAAAAAAAATAAACTAAAACTCCAGCAACATTAACTAATCGCAAGCGCGCAGCACTGCTCCACAGAAGTTGCAGGGGGGGGGGGGGGGGTGCCGAAAGAAAAAAAAATCACAACAGCATAAAATTGAAAGTGAGAGTGAATAAGAAAGCGGAAACTTCAAAAGATCTTGTGATGCAGATACTGAAATTACATGAAAGCG